TAAAAGGGAATTTTAAATATATATATTTGATGCTGTAAATTTGATATTTTTTGAAGTTTCTCGATGATATGAACTTATGTATAAAAACATAGGTAATGATTTTTTAAATTTTTTTTTATGGTAGTTGTTGATGTGTGTAATAATTGGATTGGTGTTTGTTGGAGTCCCATGTATTTGTTGTGAAATGTAGAAAATTGATAAAATATTTTTTTAAAAGGTTAAAAAAAAGAAAAAAAATTGCTAGGAGAATGAATGGCAAAGACGTTTTGTGGCTGAAGGAACTTACAAACTACCGAAAAGTCTATATCATAACATTTTATCTTTTGGGTTTAGTTCCACTTTAAGCCCAATCAGAAGATTTTATTGGTAGCTTTATTGTCTGCAACAGTCTACAGTTAGTTGTAGTTGACAGTGGAATACCGGGTGGTCTCACAGCGCCATGGTTCAAACAAATGTACAGCTCGCCTGGGGATGAATGACGTATTATATGTGCATGAAAAGGATTAATTGACTAATTGCTTTTTATTTTACATTAATTTAGAGCGCTCTTTGCAAGCATTGTGTCAAGGTCTCGTATAGCCACTGTTCAATGGGCTCACTCATTTTTGCTGAAATGAATAAACTCCGTTTATTAGCAAAGTTGCTCATATTAATTAGCACAATTGAGTAGACTCGTTTGCCAAGTATAGCCATTTTGTTTGTTTATAAATTAATTTATTTGACTAATAACTATCTTCACTTCGTTTACTTTATCTGGAGCCGAAAGTACTAATTATCCATTTAGCAAATGGCTGTCTTAAGTGAAGATCATTTGTGAGTTTATATATGAACCAGACACATCTCAACAATCTATTCTTATTCTTATGGTTCTATTTATTTTAAAGGGAACAGCACAAGAAACCGTCCAGATGGTCTTCAAGCTATTACACTCAATGATGTGTTTGGCAAAAATTTTTATACTCAGCAATATGTTCATCAGTGGATATCAGGTATAACTCTTGTAGAGATTTTGAATATCTATCTATCTATCTATCTATCTATCTATCTATCTATCTATCTATCTATCTAAATATATATCTACATATCTATCTATCTATCTATCTATCTAGGCGTTTTTTTGTACTTTTGCTGAAACTGAATTTCAGGCAAATAATTACATTTACAGATACAATACATATATTGGAGCTGTTCTACCTGCCACAGGATTTCTTATTTCCATGCAGCTGTGAGATCTACACAGCTCCACCACACAAAACAGCCTTGTCTGGCAGAACAAAAGGCCTATTTTTTTTTAAACTTTAAATACTTATCAATATAAGAAAATATATAGAAATGATATACATAACATAGAGCACAATGCGTTATTTAATACATTAATACATTTACAGAAAAAAATACATATATTGGAGCTGTTCTACCTGCCACAGGATTTCCTATTTTGTCCATGCAGCTCTGAGATTTACACAGCTCCACCACACAGAACAGCTTCGTCTGGCAGGGCAATTTTTTAAACTTTAAATATATATTAATATAAGAAAATACATAGAATTTATATGCATAACATAGAGCATAATACACTGAGACCAAGTAGAATATTGATAAAAGAAGCTGCTCATGTTACAGATACATAGTCAGTGAGGAGACACATCTTGGACACCCAAAGGTTGCACACACTGTGGTTGAGGGACAAACTACTATAGGTCCAAGGTTATGTCACCAATCAGAGCATATATTGAGAAGACAAAAAAATTTTTTATTTTGGTAGGATAAAATAATCAAACAAAGTTAAAAGGAGTGGAGCAAAGAAACCAAGAAGGAAAGGAGTGTGCAAAACCGATATAGGTTAGGTTATACTACATATATTAAATAAATATCTCGCAATACACTTATTGTATTGGATTGCTTACACATAATTACACATAATTCAGTTGAACAATTCACTCAATTAGAAGTGACTATAGTCGAAAGATATCCAGGCCTTTTTTCTGGCTTTGGGTCCCCTCTATGGTCCTTTTCACTGTACAAGAGGGTGTCACAGTTCCTCCTAGAATTCAGTAATGGGAGCGTGTAATATTTGCTCAATGGTGGAATTAGGCCAGAAGCTATGTAGGAGTTATCGTGCTGCTACAATGCTCAAGAGATATATAACATTTACAGATTGATGAACTCACTGGTATCCACCCAGTTCTAGGTAGACTTACCCTTTAAAATACAGTTTAGTGTAAAGGCAAGAACAAGAATTCTAATCTTGGTTTCAACATGACAAAAGTGAAAATTGTTATGAAACCTGGATTACGTTCAAATTTATTTTAACGGATTGCTGACATTAACAGATGTTCAGTTTTAATAACTAGCTGCTAATAAATCTTTTACACTTGTCCCTTGAAAAGTTTCGTATGACACTTCTCAAAGTACATTTGACAAATGTTCTAACTAAATACATATATTTCGGGGCAGTGTGCTGATGTGCTGATGTGCCTGGCGAGGCACCAAGCGAGTATTTACATCTGTTCTTAACACCAAAAGATAAATATTGGCTGTTTCTACTAAACCTTTATTAGATCATTTACAATGTAAGTCTGGTGGGACTGATACCGCCCATACGTCTGAGATTTTGTGAGATAAGTTTCTACATAACAAAAATTACATCTTTCAATAAAGAGCATCAAACTAGACAGAAAAATGTTTCCATATGTGGTAAGGTCCAAGAGTATCGAGGCAGCATCAGAATAGTATCACAAAATGTGTGTGATCTAAAAGCCTCTATTTCCTTATGATAAATATTGTAAGAGACGCGGCGTCACCAACTTAAACCTTTGTAGGTAATAACACAAGAAATCAAGTATTTTAAATGCTTACTTGCCGTGTTTTTCTTTTCCATAACTGATTTTCTTATTCCCTTGCCTTTCAAGGAGCTGGAAAATTTGACTGCTTCAGGAAAAGTCAATTAATTACTCTCTGTGCTGGTTTAACACTTTTATTCCTTCCCTCGCTTCCTTACACAATATTTTATGTAGCACTTGAGGAATGAACGGTGGAGAATACTATAGAGTGCCACTTGAGTGATGGCTCCGAGTCTGCTGGGGCTGCTGATATCACATTCAAAGTGAAATTTTACCACATTCACCATGCTAAGTGAAAATTTCCTTGCACTGTGTACAAATTATTTATTTTTAGTAAGTCAATAACAGGGTCCCTTTAAATAGCAGCATTGTAGCTTGGTGATTAATGCTTTTGCCTTGCAACACTGGGATCGTGGGTTTCAATCCCCACTAGGGTTGTCAGCTGCACAGAGGCTGATTGGCTCTGAGTGTGGATGATTGAAAATTGATTTTGCAGTGAAATTACCTATTTCAGCTTTGCGGAAATTTATTCAAAATGAGTTTCAAATGTTGCCATTTTGCTAAACCAATTGTGAACACTGGACATGCTACACCTGCACAAAAAAAAGTAATTGAAATACACAGGGCATAAGTAGTATGCCCTGTAATTCTGCCCCACTGCTGTTCCTGATTGGAAATTGATTTTGCAGAGAAATTATCTGTTTCAACTTTGCTGAAATTTTTATCAAAACGAGTGTCAAATGTTGCCATTTTGCTTAACCAATCGTGAATATGCTACACCTGCACTTTTAATGCAGCTCGTGCAACACCACATAGAACTTGTCTTATAATATTGTTAATTTGGTGCAAGGAAAAGAAGCCAATCTTTACAAAATCCCTATGCTCCTCTGCGACATCTAGGGGTTGATTTACTAACCTTATAAACACACCACGAACGTGTATACACCTCTGCAGTGTGTTCCCTCCCAGCATGATCTATGGGTGGACTCTAAACACCTTTGTAATGTGTTCACACCCAGCAGGTGTGTTGTGCAAAGCCCTGAAGGAATTCCAAGGTGATGTTGGGTAAATTAGCTCTATGTTGTGTTGCTTGCGTTGATGAATGCAAGGAATGTAAATGCATGAGCTAACCATTTTTGTCTAAACTGTGAAGCAGCATTATATATGCATCATGTGCATGATTTTTACATATATGGTATTAGTGGAAATATGCTTTTAGAGACTTTTTGGTTGATAAATACATTTTGCTGTGTGTGTGTGTTTAGGTTAGTAAATCACCCCCCTAGTGTCAGTATTACTGTGCAAACTGCATTCACCCAGCTTTACGCTTAAAGTAAGAAAAATCATGGCTCTTGTGTTGAGTCAAAATTTGTTTAGACTGAATTTCAGCTTTAAGCATAACTAAAATATAATTTATTATTAGTGGATTTGCGGCACTGCTTTTTATGTTGCAGGCAAATTATAAAGGCTGATAAAAAGGTTATGATTTGTGATTTCCAGAGGCTTATTTTATTCATATGTTTTATGTAGAGAATGAATATCTGCACAGAAACGACGAAGGAAATGTTTTCTTATTTAATGTTGAGTCCGGTGAGATTTCAGCCATTTTGACAAATGCAACATTTGTAAGTACATCAAAAACATTGCAAATACTCACAACTTTTTATACTCTAACATTTTTTTAAACTTTCAACAAGAAATTCTTTCAGTGTTTCTTTTTTTGCTGTCTATGCCGCCATTGGATAGATTTGCCCTCATTTTTACCCATTTGACTCCAGGACTAGAAATGAGAAGAATGAGGCGGGGGGTGTTGGGACAGAAAAGCACAGACAGCATATATCCTTCTACTTCAGTTCAGGAGGGGTGAGATGAGATTACAGGATTCTAGATTTAAAAAAAGTATAGTTCTTCTTTAGTTCCGCACATTTCCTGGTGTCCATATAGCCGAAATAGTGCTCATGTGCTTGATCAGGACGCAGCACACTTCTCTTTTTTTTAGAATGTTATTGAAATACCAGTGACATTTAATTAAGTTCTATGAGCACACAGTGGTGCAATGTAGTTGTACCTTGCCTCATTGTGGTGCACTGAAAAAAGTTTTGCATGCCAAGTCCATCCATGAAGGCAAATTATCCTGTCCTGCGTTGAGGCTTAGCTGTACCTTTTTTCAGTGCAACCCAAACGCAAGACAAGGCAATTTGCACTGGGTGAGAAAGGGCCCTTAAAGATGATTTTATGCACACTTCCAAATATCCCACTAATGTTACATCAGCATCAGCATGGGAAAGTGATCGATGTGATGTCAAAGCAAGCTTGTTGCATGCTTTGAGCTGTAGACTCTGCACTGTGCACAGGGCCGGATTTCCCACAAGGCCTCATTCCCACAAGGAATTCCTATCTCCCGATGCCCGGATGGGTAGTTGTTTTCTACATTTAGCCCTGATTTGGGCAAGCAGAGCTAAATGTACAGCGGGGAAGCTGCCGCTTGCATTGTACAAGTGATCTCGGCAACATTGTATGCAACCTGCAGGTCTGCCATCCTCCATGGAAGGGGGGGGGGGTGCGGGTAGGAGGGCGCATTGAGGAACCTGGCCTTGGGGCAGCAGAGAGAGTAAATCCGGCCCTGACTGTGCACCTTTTCTATCTCCGTCCTCTTTACTTGCTTTGCCAAATGATTTATCATGGGAAATGGCTATAGTGGCATCACTTATCTTGGCAAACAAGAGTGGCTTGCTATGTGGGGGAGCTGTTATTGTGTGGATACAAACTTGCCATAGAAATTACAGAGAACTTGGATATTCTTGACAAGGATTATATTTTTCTAAACTGTATAACTTGTTATATGATTATACTATTCTCATTTTATATTGTATTTGTTTCTCTCAAACAAGCTCTCAAGAGTTACACAGTCTTTCTCTCTGCAGGATAAAGTGAATGCTACAAACTACAAACTGTCTGCCGATAGAAAATTTGCATACCTCGAGAGCAATTACGCAAAAGTAATGCTTAATTATAGTTTTAATTAATGTTTATATTTCTGGTAAAGAGAGAATTACACTAATGTGTAATTATACTTGTTGTATAGAGATGGCTTCACATTCTACATGGCTGTGCATATGTGAATTTATGACCAGGTGCTAGTAAGTAATTAGGCTGTAAAAATAAGCAACTCTGAGAATTAATATTTGTACTCATTAAAAAATACACCAGAGGGTGATGTTTATCCAGATAATGATAGAAATGAAACTGTTTGGCATTCCTAGCAATGCATTTCATTCTAAATCTGATTACTGGTTCGGTAGTTATTTAAAATTATTTTAAAAATACAATTTAGAATGTAGAGAAGCCACTAAATGTAGAGAACATACACTGCCTGTCCCAAAAAAAGTATCCACCTTGTTTGTGCTAAGCAAATAGGTCAGAGCCTTCCATTGGATAATAGGTCTAGGTTCAGCAATGTTATGTGCCCACAAATGAGGTCAGCTGCCTACCTAAATATACTGAATGACCAGGTTTTTCCATCATTGTTTTTTTTTTTTTACCTGATGCCAAGGGCATATTCCAAGATGACAATGCCAGGATTCACTTGGATCATATTGTGAAAGAATGGTTCAGGGAGGATGAGATATAATTTTCACACTTGGATTGTCCACTAAACCTTAACCCCATTGAGAATCTTCGGGATGTGCTGGAAAGATCTTACGCAGTGGTCTGACTCTCCCATGATCACTACATGAAAAATGAATGCAACTCTGGATGGAAATAAATGTTGTGACATTGCATAAGTGTATTGAAATGATGCCATGACGAATGTGTGCCGTAATCAAAGCTAAAGGTGGTCCAACGAAGTATTAGAGCGCATTACTTTTTCTTTTTTGGGCAGGCAGTGTAATTTTCATTCCAATCTGACATTGCATCCAGTACTGTATGTAAATGGCATGTAATATAACATAATAAAAGGGGTGACTTTTTTTACTAATTAATTTAGTTGTTTCCTTTTCTTTTGTTTTTTTAATACTAGCCCACCAAATCAAACAGGTCAGATCTTCCCCTTGAAGGTGTTTCCACTTTCAGGGTATAGGAATTTACTAATTTCATAAAATCCTTTATGCTTTATAAAAGATTACTGTAAAATGGCAGATAGCACCCAAAACCTTACGGTGTGCTTTTAGTAATCTTTGTGGTAGTACATGGGGACTTCAGGCCCTTTTGTGAAAGACATGAATGGTTTAGTGTTGTTTAAAAACACCTAAATAATAATCCCCACTGTTATTAATATTAAAATTCTTAACAATGTATAACAGAGAAGTCCAAGTTAGAAAAAAATCTAGATAAGTGAATGGGAGGTGTAGAAACTAGAATGATGTAACAGTTGGTATGGCAGGGAAAAAGCAATAAAAATGTTTAAGGAAAAATGTCTACCAATATTAGAACTCGTATGAATGACATCAGTGCACCAAGTTTTAGAAAAGTCTTAAAGTAAGTTTTATGAGAAAAATAAGATCACCTCACACAATGTATTCTCTGTTAGGAGCAATTCTGGGTGGAAGCAGCTGACATCTCCAAGGTTTCTTTTCTAAAGCAGTTTCATGCTGTTACATATATTCAAGTCAAAATCCCAAATAAGCCTAAAAAACTATAGAAATAGATTGAATAGTGAACAGAAAGCTTTACTGTTACTGTTGTTGATAGTATTATTCCTCCTCAGTGCCAGTCCCTACTTCTCTACCCTGGCAGCATGCTGCAGAGAGAACCATTGCTAGTTTGTGAAGTAGCAACAGTTTCTCTGCAGAGGTCTAGTATGCCCCTCCAAAAAAGTCACAGCTACAGTTCTGCAATCAGCAAAACACATGCTCCCTACTAATTGGAGAGCTCTTGCTGTGACTTGATGAAGGAGTGTTGGACTGCTGCAGAGAGGCACATTAAGTGGGAATATGATAAATACATATAGTTTTCTTGGTGCAAAATTTTCCACTTTAAGGTCACTGAAGGGGAACTCTTTGCGTCTGGAGGAAAATAGGTTTAACCTTTGCATTTAGAAAGCTTCCTCACAGTAAGAACTGCAAAAATGTGGAATAGGCTTCCACAGAAACTAGTTCTAACTAGCTCAGTTATTGTTTTAAAAATTCTGGATCCATTCCTAAATGCACAAAATATAACTAGATATTAACATTATATAAGTAAAGAAAACAGCGATTGTGATCCAGGGAATATCCGATTGCCTTATGGGATCATGAAATAAGTTTTTCCCCTGTTGGAGCAAATTGAACCATGCTTTCAATTTTATTTTTCCCTTCCCCTGAATCAGCGGATACCTCTGGGCATAGGATTCTGTTTATGGACGTTTTTCTATTCTTTTTTTTCTCTGTAGGTTGTACGCAATGTACTTGTGTCTTTTTTCAACCTAACTATGTAACTGGGAAGGAATTACACTATAATACCATTTACTTAATGTAATGCATTTACATTTAAAGTGTATGTAAAGTCAATACTTTTTCTTTTTAGTTTTGGATAGAATAGGGAAGTAGGAAAAGGTTAAAACCCCATGCGACTTATTTTTTCCTGTTTGTGTCCAATTGGAGAGATTTCTCTTCACTTCCTATCTTGGAGATGAAACGGGAATTCAGAGGAAACCTCTACCATTAGAGAATTCTTGTTCTTGTTACATTTTTAATTTCCCATCACTTTTTGTTCTGTAGGCATTGGCCAATGGGACAATTACAAAGGTTTATCTATCTATCTATCTATCTATCTATCTATCTATCTATCTATCTATCTATATATCTATCTGGGAAACATATAGCAATATATACTTGAATTGGTATATAATCCTTCTACACCCGTTTTAAAACTTAAACAATAGCTAAACTTACACTTTAAGCTTCCTGCTTACTATATACGGTAATTTATCTCTATATTTTAAAGGGTATTCAGAACCAAAACTTTACAATTTTGGATAGAGTAGGGTAGGGTTCAAACCCCGCCAGGTAATTTCTTTCACTTCCTTCCTTCCTTCATTTCCTGTACCAGACAAAAAAAACTAGAAGATCACATTACATACTGTATTCTGAATGTCACTACCACTTTAATATGTATTGCTTAGATTACAGTTTAAATAATATGATATAACAATTTCAGTCACACATATAATATGATAGACTATGTAACTATGTATCTGACTATAACTGTTAATGATCTTTTTGCAGCAATGGAGATATTCTTACAGGGCCTCATACCACATTTATGATCTTGAAAAAGGGTTAGTACTTATTTTTTATTACAGTTATTTATTAATTTCATTCAGTTATTTTAGATGTATCCGCTAGTAACACATTTTTTTTTCTCCAGAGAATTTGTGGTAAATAATGAACTCCCTTCAAAAATTCAGTATATATCCTGGTCTCCAGTTGGACATAAGTTGGTAAGTCTTCACCTCTTAGCGGGACATTGAAAATCATTTTTCCTTCCTGAGTTCCTTGCTTTGCAGGTTCTCCAGCTGTGGTAAACTATTAGATTATCTAACTACAATAAATAGAAGACGAGTGCGGATACCAGTAAACTTTCACTTAAACCATGGCTAGACAAACAACAAAGAGCTACAGGGAGCCTTGACATGTTTCACACCTTAGTGTTCACTCATAAGACAAAAGACTAGTGTGAAACGCGTCAACTCTCTGTAACTCTTTGCTGTTTGCCTCCCCATTGTTTGACTAAAGGATTCCTGGCATCCGCACCACACTCTAACAAATTGTTTCCTAATTATTTGAGTTATATTACAGATGGGCACAGCTGAAATCTGTTCCTGGTGCTTGGGAGGAGGTGTGTTAGGTTCACCCATGTGGTAGCAGCTCTCTTTCCAATAAATTGTCTAGTTCTGTTGTTTGAATAATTTAGCTTAATTTTTTTTTTTTTTTTGCCAACCCGTATTTCTGTTTCTGTGGACATGAACCAGAAAAACAAACTCAGTAGTCATGATCAAATGCAAAGGCTAATGTTTGGTTTAAGGTGTATTGACAATCAGCATGATATAGCGAGAGAAATTCTACAGTGCCAGCTTTTAAATGGTAAACCCAAGAAGAGAGCCAAATGAACCTGTCTAATAGTGCTTTATTAATATCAAAAGTCAACAGGTAACACAAGCACATCCAATGTGTTTCAGGGGTCAAATATCTCCCCTCATCAGGGTTTGGACAATATAACAGACAGTGTCTGTTAGACGCAAAGCATAAGCTATTGCATGCAACACTTTAACAAGAGTGAAAGTTAATATGATAATGTGTATGAATCAGTAGCTATGTGATGTGGTCATTTACAATAATAACAACAATAATAATAGCACCTAAATGTTTGATTTAGATCTTATTTACCCTAGGTGTACGTTTGGGAAAATAACATATATTTACGGCATGAACCCGAACAAGCATCAGTTATGTTAACCAGTGATGGCAAAGAGAATGAAATTCTGAATGGTATTCCAGATTGGGCCTATGAAGGTAGGTACTTTTTTGATATATTGCTAGTATGTTGTGCTAGGTCCTAATTATCAATCTCACTACAGATTATATAAATGAAATTATAAATCCACAGTCCATCTCCTCCAATGATAGCAATTGGGTAATTAGGACCTAGCGCAACATACTAGCAATATATTATACACGGGTTATCACCACATATTGTTGCGGCTGGTATTTTATCACTGAGTTTATTATTACTCCTAGCGCAGCAACTTGCTGGTTTTCAGGTACAGGTTGAATCAGTAAATTAATAACCTTAGTAATAATCATCATGTCTCCAGTTGTAATATCGCTCCTCATTGTGATGATTTGTTTGTGAGGTGTCATTTTAGGTTAAATAAGGTCCAAATCAAACACTGCTGTCAGTGTACAGGTACCAGTTCAATGCCAGAGAGTTGCAGCAGTCTACTGAAGTACATCTGCCAATAATAAGTATCTGAAAGTCCTTATTGGCATATAAATAGACCCCCCCACACACACACACACACATGCCAAATGGCAACGCTCAGTTCTGGCAATAGGTTGTGCAGTCATAGGACACTTCACTGTAGAATAGGGTAGGAGTGCGTGTATTCTCCTCATCCCAGAAAATAAGGCCTTACACAGGAACTTTATAGAGACTCCCAGTGCACAGATTGAGGTATGAACAGCAGGGGGTTAATTAATTAGGGATTACTTTATGAGTTAGGGATCGCTTCTAGGGGATGACTTTATAGGTTAGGGATCGATTGTAGGGAATTACTTTATAGGTTAGGGATCGCTTCTAGGGAATTACTTTATAGGTTAGGGATCGCTTCTAGGGGATTACTTTATAGGTTAGGGATCGCTTCTAGGGAATTACTTTATTGGTTAAGGATCACTTCTAGGGGATTACTTTATAGGTTAGGGATTGCTACCAGGGAATTACTTTATAAGTTAGGGATCGCTTCTAGGGAATCACTTGATAGGTTAGGGATTGCTTCTAGGGAATCACTTGATAGGTTAGGGATCGCCGCTTCTAGTGGATTACTTCATGTCTCCAGTTGTAATATCGCTCCTCATTGTGATGATTTGTTTGTGAGGTGTCATTTTAGGTTAAATAAGGTCCAAATCAAACACTGCTGTCAGTGTACAGGTACCAGTTCAATGCCAGAGAGTTGCAGCAGTCTACTGAAGTACATCTGCCAATAATAAGTATCTGAAAGTCCTTATTGGCATATAAATAGACCCCCCCACACACACACACACACATGCCAAATGGCAACGCTCAGTTCTGGCAATAGGTTGTGCAGTCATAGGACACTTCACTGTAGAATAGGGTAGGAGTGCGTGTATTCTCCTCATCCCAGAAAATAAGGCCTTACACAGGAACTTTATAGAGACTCCCAGTGCACAGATTGAGGTATGAACAGCAGGGGGTTAATTAATTAGGGATTACTTTATGAGTTAGGGATCGCTTCTAGGGGATGACTTTATAGGTTAGGGATCGATTGTAGGGAATTACTTTATAGGTTAGGGATCGCTTCTAGGGAATTACTTTATAGGTTAGGGATCGCTTCTAGGGGATTACTTTATAGGTTAGGGATCGCTTCTAGGGAATTACTTTATTGGTTAAGGATCACTTCTAGGGGATTACTTTATAGGTTAGGGATTGCTACCAGGGAATTACTTTATAAGTTAGGGATCGCTTCTAGGGAATCACTTGATAGGTTAGGGATTGCTTCTAGGGAATCACTTGATAGGTTAGGGATCGCCGCTTCTAGTGGATTACTTTATAGGTCAGGGATCGCTTCTAGGGAATTACTTTATAGGTTAGGGATCGCTTCTAGGGAATTACTTTATAGGTTAAGGATCACTTCTACGGAATTACTTTATAGGTTAGGGATCGCTTCTAGGGAATTACTTTATAGGTTAAGGATCACTTCTAGGGAATTACTTTATTGGTTAAGGATCATTTCTAAGGGGTTAAGTGTTGGAAGAGTAGATTACATGTTTACTCACTTTGGAGATTAGGTGAAGTGTTAGGTTTTGGCGATTAAGTTTTTAATGGTGTTGTTAAAGCTCAGCTCCAGCCAAAACTTTTAATTTTGTTTTGTGTAGAGCAGAAAGGGGTTAACACCTCTGTCAGGTTTTAGTGCCATCCCCGGAAGTAAATTGACAAATAATTTGTCCAATGAGTAAGGCTTTCTGTGCCTTCATGTCAACACTCCCATTTTTTTTAGTAATGCCACAGAAACAGGAAGTGAGGGATAATCTCCCCAATAGGGTCTAAAACAGAAATTTCTTCCCATCCTATCAAAAATTTAGAAAAATAACCTTTACTGGAGTTTGTCCTCAAAAGTTTAGTAGTGGGGGGAGGTAAGTGTCAAGGGTAAGTTTTTTTTTTGTAGATATATAGGGTCTTAAGTGTTCAGGTTGGGTGCGGCGGGTTAAGTGTTCTTTAGTATAGATGGTATTTTAGGTGTTAGTTAGGCAATGGGAAGCTACAGTATTCATACTAGTCTTTGATGCTGGGAACTGCAGTCTGAAAACTACCAGCACTGGACTCTCGGGACTGAGAATACATTTTTTGTTCAGATGTGCCCCAAGAAGTCTGAATGTAACAGTAAAGGTTTAATGTAGCTCCTTATGGAGCCCCCTGTCCAGCATCCTTACTAGTGATAAACTGCCAAACTGGTCACATTATAGCTCTTATACATGTACCTACTTATAATTTAGGATTACCCTCTGATTTACATGGTAGGGAAAAAAATGATCCAAAATCCATGCAAACCACACTCACCTGCCATTCACTCCTCTTCCTGCAGGTGAACAGACATACATGTAAACAGATAAGTAGAAGGTCCAGCACTTTTCATCGGGCAACATCAAATTTATTGAAGATAATACATAACAATACAAAACAATACAAAACAATAACAATGTTACAACACCTTTCGGACTACTCAACCACTTTTTAGCAGCACCCAGACTCTTAGCACAATAGACAAGATAATACTGTGTTTATGATGTTATTATTTTATTTTTTATGTTTCATTATAGAGTTAGTGCTGGGATCAAAGTATGCTCTCTGGTGGTCTCCCGGGAATACCTTTATTGCCTATGTCCAGTTTAATGATAAAGAGGTACCTGTTATCGAATATTCCTTCTATGGTGAGAAGCAGTATCCCCAGACAATGAAAATACCCTATCCAAAGGTAATGAATATAAATAAATCTTGTCGTCATATTCCATGTGGCAATGTCAGGTCAGCCATTAAACATCAATTGAAACTTACATAACTGATCCTACGTTACATTTTGAAATCACAACAGATCTCATCAGAGACTACTGAAATGTTTTTGCTCAAACTGAAGTTCTCCTTTAAAGTCTATCTCAGACAAAACATGTTTCTGTTTTGGATAGATTGGGGAAAAAGTAGATCCTCTGTTAGTTCATACTACTGTCCGTGGCTCTGTTGGGGAGACTTCACCTCACTTTCTGATCTGGTGTTCTCACTTCTTCATGTTCCCACCATGACATCTGGTTAGAGGAAATCTGCAACAGGGACACGGACAGCAATAAAAGGGGAATTAGTGGAAGATTAAAACCCAAGTCACCTGTTTACTGATGTGTCCCTGTTCGAGACTTTCCCTCAAATGGCAATGACAGTGATATCACTCAGACAGTGATAAAAACCTAACTGTAACACTTTAATCGTCTACATAATGTGACCAGATTATGGCCAGAACTTCAGTCTCCTCTTCTGTTGTGCAACCTTGCCATCTGATTGCCACATGATGTGATGAAGACTGCCATGAGCTCAGTCACAAATCTTACAGATTCACATTAAGGACATTTAGACAATAAAAATCCTGACAACTACAGGAATTTACTTAGTGGGGGCAGCCAGACATGCAAAATGAACATCAGTATTGTGTCTCAATGTGTTATATATTTTTCGTACTTCCCTTTAGGCTTTGTGGAATCTTTCGAATATGTGTATAACTGTATATTTAGCAAACACAAAATTCGTACAGGGTGCATCCATGACATAGGATTCACAAAGCATTATGTGTTGTCTAAAGAAACAACACAGAAGAAGCTGTTTGTCTTGTTATTGTCCGCTTGGGTCCAAATATCCCATTTGCGCAGAGTAGGTAAGTAGGTAGATAGCACTAGTTTAGCACTGAATTTCAAATTGAGCTATTGAGCTCTGTATGATTTTACCACACAACAGGTAAGAATAGACAGGTACACATGTGAAATGGAGACTAATTTATCTTTCAGGCTCATAATCTACTAATTTTTCATGCCTCTTGACCTTTTCTAGTTACTGAGTTATGCTGCACAACGATACATAGCTAGTTGTAAAATAACACTAAACTCAGAAGTTAGATATTAAAACTGCATTCAAGAACCTTCACTATTAACAAAAATGTATCTTATTTGTGCATCACTCGGCTGTAGATCCTCAAATCATTTCTGAATTCATGCTGACACTGTCCTTCCTTCCTGGGGGGTGGCTACTTTTGTTCCCCATGTTCCCTGTGTGTGCACTGTAATAGCCGTGATAGGTTAACATTTTAATACAAATTACTAAACTAAACATGAGATTGTATTCCATCACGGGAGTGAGCTTGGAGCAGTGGCTACTTTACAACACACACAGGGTCCATAGGGAATAAAAAAAACAAAAAATGCATATCAGGTCCCAGTCCTGTGTCCTGTTCATCCTACCACCAGATTTAGATTTTTTTTAACCTCTTTTGAAGGCAGGAGCAAACAATCCAACAGTGAAACTGTACATTGTGAAAATTGATGATTCAAGATATCCCAAAGCCGAAGTTCCAGTCCCTTCACTCATAGCTTCCAGGTAATTATTAAAATACTCTTATAGGTTTCATAAATGAAAACAAACACTGTCATTTACTTATATAATCCAGAGCAAAGGAAATATATTTACATGAATCTTGTCCTAAACAAGGACACATTTGCTTTAATTTTCCAACCTTTGTTGAATAAAAAAATTGATATTATTTTGTTTTCACCATTCTAAAGGGAATATGGTCTGTAAATGGGGCTAGATCAACACTTCCTGTAGTGTGTCACAACAATTGCATCTCCTAGCATGTACATTTCTCGAAATCACAATATGATCTTTCTGGACTTATTTCTCTATCGCTATTATTTAGATTAAAATTTATGTTAATTGAAGGAGGAGTAATTCCTTTTCTTAGTAAGAACACATTGACACTTGAGACCCTGAATGACTGTTAATAGAGTGTTTCCCTAATAAAATTATTTACCAGCAAAAACAACATAATGTGCTAACAAATAGGCCCAACAATATCTACAATATCAAATATGGCACCAAAAATCATCTAGATGTCACTACCCATTTGCCCCCAAATTTCACTTATTTTAGTTCAAGGCCTTCTCTTTTTCTCTGCCAGTAGAGGCACTAGAGGAAACCTGTGCTTTGTCCCTGGCTTGTGGTTGATATCTGGTGTGCCCTAACTCTCTGGCTTTAGCAGTATATACATTGATATGTCCGTGATAACTATTGGTTATGTGCATAGACCCCTAATAGCTGCTTATTGGGGTTTTTTTTGCCAATGTTATTTCTCGGCATCGGATGAGCTAATTATTGTAAATTCTGTTCCCTTTTTACCTTGAGATCTAGAGGGTTAACTTTAGATCCCAATTTTGCAACGTCTTTTTAATTTGACATCTAGTAAGTCGGACATTGACAATTGCTATGTTCTGCTCTGCTCCATCCCACCCTGCATCTCCATTGTGCAGGATCTGTTGTAGCATACAGTCAGAAGTAAAATTTAATGGTGTGTGTACCTAATATGATATTGTGTAACTCTACTAACTGGAATTCTCTTTAACATGCTTGGTGCACATCCCTAATGCTGTACAGAGGGGGGCAATAAACTTTGGCGCTGCATGCAAATGTATGCTAATGCCAGCAACATACCTTGTAATTCGGGGTGCTGGAGTGAGTGATATCAGTAGTGCATTGTGAGGGTTTCAAGGTGTTTCTTGAAGCATCACATTTCCCTATCTGAATAGGAGGGCCATTGGGACATTACTCCCCCAGAAAAGGTCTCCAATAATCATCTCTTTTAGCAGGTAAGCCTCACGCAAAAATAAAATTGTTGATTCCTCACCCTAAAGGCTGAGCGTGCTGCAGTTTGGGCCCAATACACTCTGGTGGGCCCAGGGGCATGCGTGCCCCTTGAGACCTTTGTAGTTACAGCAATGGCCATTGTGTTTTACAACACTTATGTAAAGTTGGGGTGCTGGAACCTTGGTAATGTGTCATTTCAGTACAAGGCTCCCCATGCTGAGATACCTAGAGAAAGATCAGCTACTAAAAGTCTATGCTAACTTTAACAGTGTGTGAACCTCACTTCTAATCTAGGATCCTCTGTGATGAAATGTAACAGGACATTGCCAGAATAACATCCCTGTGTTAGAAGATAATACTTCAGGGGTCAGTTTCTAGTAGTTCAGTATTGTCCTAAAAATTGGAAATTGACTGGTTGCATTGGCTTTTAGCATGCAGTGTCACATGTTTTAAGTAACTATAAAAGTCCTGCATGTTCCATTGATTATTCCTAATAATGAACATTCTTTTTACAGTGGAGATTACGTCTTCAGCTGGGTGACATGGATCCTGGATGAGAGAGTCAGTGTACAATGGTTGACTAGAGTTCAGAATGTCTCCGTTATCTCAATTTGTGACCACAGCTCATACACATGGATATGTCCAAAGGTAACTGATACCAACAGCCTAAACTTATGTAATCAGTAATATTCACAAACTACAGGGGCCAAAGTACCATGCCTATATGTTAAATTCAATAACAAAACAAAATGTCTTGTACCTTGAGAATAATAATTTCCTGGTATTTGTGCAACTCCAGTACACATTATTACACAGTGTTTTGCAGAGACCTTAATGCAGTGACTTGTAAGGTGATCCTTATGTTGCTTAAATAATTCAAAATGGATGAATATAAAAGTGGATTTTGGATTTATACATGTGTTAAAATATTAATTGTATATTTACTAAATAAAATTGGCTTAAGAAAAAAGCAAAGTTGTAGCCATTCAAAGTGCAGTAACCTGTTTCAGGGATGGTATAGCAGGTACCACCAGACAATGCATGTATTTTAGCTACCTTTTAGAGCCAAATAGGAAATCAGGGAAGTGGCCCCTCCTCCTCCCTGGGTCCGTAGGTGGCCTCACTGACCAGTAGCTGTAGTCAGCTTTGCAGGTTTCATAGCTTTCAGGGTGTTCTAGAAAGTACAGTAACTGAGGCTATGAGCAGGCAATTGGTGGTACCTACTATACCATACCAAAGGCAGTTTACTACTATTAGGTTGGTACATTGTGTTTCAGTACCAAGAACCCTGTGCTGCTAGGGTGTGCTGAGGAGTCTTTAGCACTGGACATTTAAACACACACACTATTTGGCCTGGCCCTTAGCCTAACCCTTAGGCTCCCATTAACATTTAACCCCCTACCCAAGCCATAAAACTTAATGTAGGCCCTATAATGAAGCCCCTAACAACACAAAACTCTTACCCTAACTCCTAAATTAACAGCTAACAATTAAACTTTACCCTGAAATTTAACACTTAACCCCTTACGTCCTTAAACCGAAAAACATGACTTTTAACACATACAGTAAACCTTATCCTAACACTGGAAATACTGGGTCAGCCTAATTGGTACCAAATATATTGTCACCAAATGCTACTGGTCCTGAGTGAACTCAGTGGCACTAAATAAGTCATTGGCAACTCCAGCTGCTTCAGAGACACTGTTTGCTCCCCTGTGACAGCTTAACCGTAAGTTATACATATAGTCAGTCTGCTGTGACCCAGCCAGTCACAGCAGACTGGGCAGCATTTATCCATTGAACAACTGTTATGCTATACCCAATAAGTATCTACTCAGGTTGTTGCACTCTTCCTTATACTGTGTTTGTCTTGTTTGGATACCATTTTTAACATCTTCTCACTCATTTCTATCTTCTCCCTAGGATCGACAATATGTTGAAACAAGCAATACAGGATGGATTGGTGTGGTATGTAGTCTTACTGTATTTGCATTCCCTCTGATCTTAACTCAGTGTAGTAGACATGGATCTCACCTGAGTCCTCTAAGGGCTGGTGTGGCCGATGCAAGAGGTGATCTGTATCCACTGTAGTGAAAGAGGACAAGAAAAAATGCAGCTTATAGCAATTTATTTTTAAAAAGCACATGAATACATGTACTGCAACCTTAATAGCTGTGTGTAAGTAAAATTCACACATAAGGAGGAACATCAGATGACAGCTATATTCTCAGACTCCCAGTCTACATACACCAATTCCAGGGAAGTGATACAATTTAAACAATATCTAAATAAGATAACTGCCCCAAGAAATACTATACAATCTGTAAATGAGAACATTTTGCGATAGATTTCCTTGAAGAGAAATCCATACTGAGAGAGATACAGTGGGTACCATTGTTGTTTTCCTTCTACCATTTGATTGGTTGTCAAGCTGATCCATTAGCTTCAATACTTTCTGAGTTACTGACTTAAAACAAGTATTAAAAAAATAACAGTAAAGTTCGAACCCCTGATCTGCATACTTGTTCCCGGTCAGTGTCAGAATTTTGAAGACATTGGAGCAGCATGACAGCAGTGGCTGAAAGCATTAAAGCAAGAGGGTTAGTATTGCAGCCAGACAACTTGCATTTTCAGATGAAAAGTCAGTATCGTGGTGTTTGGGAAACCCACTATGATACCAGTGGCAACAGCTGATAATAGGCAGGACAGATGCTAGAGTGGTGTAATTCCTCAGACAGTCGATCACAGAAAAAGTAGACAGGAGCAGAATCAGATGACCAGCTTAGGCAAAGACAAACAGAGTTCAGGTTCCAGAGCACAGACTGCCAGTAGCTCAGGATGGACAAAGAGATCCCAAGCCAGAGCATGAGCAAACTGCTAAACCTGTTGATAGGGCACTAGGCAGATGTTCTTTTATAGGTGGTTAAGGAGGGCAGGTGTGAACAGCAGAGACCTGAACTGCAGTGCTGGGTAATGACCAGCAGATGGCAAAGCTTCCAGGCTGATCGTACAGTCAGCAACGGCAGACTCTATGCTTCTCTCATGTTAGTTTGCATTTATGGATGACACAGTTATCACAATGGGTTTTCAGTGACCAACACTGTTGATCAAGGGGTAATGTAAAATTTTCCCATTTGGAACTGCTGCATACATGGGTCCCAGTATGCAAGCTTGGTGTTACCATCCTTGGCAAAGTGTCAACAAGTTATGGGAATATGCCCATTGTGGTGTTATCTTTTAAAAATTATTAATACGTTTTGAAGTGTTTTTTGTCATCATCAGCGGCTCACATTGTTTCTGTCTCTTCCTCGTTATCCATTAGTCAATCAATGTTAATTGGTAGAAAGTCTCCATTGAAAAGTGCTAAAAATACATTTTTACTCTAATTAGTGCAATTAGCAAATACAAATCTAATGACTTGTTTGAGCAGCAGTACAAATAGAACTTTAATTACGGCGTTATTAGAATGCACTTTGTTGCAGTAAATTGGTCATTTGGCTCGGGAATGTCTTGACTCATGATACTCTCGTACCACAAGCGCAAGTACGTCTGCTAAATGAACATCTGTGTTTTTCTTGCTTGTTCCTATTAAAGTGGATGGCAACTGCCTTTTTAATATAATGCACTCTAAAACAAAGAAAAATGAGACCATCGCCTGCAATTCTGTATTTATGACTAACTATAATTCCAAATTGAATTCTATGCCATTTGATAACATAATGTACCTTAACATGTCATTATTATTACTTCTCTGAATGAATAAATATAAAATAAATATAAAATACATTTTATATATA